GAAATAAACAAGAGCCTTGAAAGCTCCAATAAACAGTGTGACTTTGCCTGGAGGGCAAGGGGAAGCCTTGAAGGCTGCTAAGCGGGTGTGATGTAATCTGCTACAATTAGGAGAAAGGAACAGAAGAAGCAAGACAGTCAGAGACCAGCGAGAAAGAAGACTTTCGTAGGAATCCAAGAAGAATATGGTGACCTGAACTAGGGCAGTGGTAGTGGGTTTGGAAAGAAGGCAAAGACTCTGAGAAACCTCTGGGACAAAGGATCAATAGGATTTGGCAATTAATTTGTTATGGCTAATGGGAGGAACCAAGGGTGATTCTCAGGTTTCTGACAGAACTACTGAGTAGATGGTACCAGTCAATCATTATTTAAGAGAATGGTTGAGGACAAGGTGTTGGGAGAAAAGTAACACCTGAGCTTTAAGGGGTCGGTGTATATCTAGGTAAGAGAGAGAACAGGGGCTGGCTATGAAGGCTTGGAGTTCAGATGGCAGATGGAGCCGATTCCTTTTCTCCAGTGGGATCACTGCTGCCATGTCAGCTCCCACTTCTCAGGTGGAGGAAAAATGAGAAGACAGCATACAGAGGATAACTGAAGCTGGGGAATAGATTAGATCACCCTGGTAAGTGTGAGTGTGTCGGATAAAAAGAAAAGACAGCTAGGAGAGAGGTCGAAGAAATACCAATATTTAAGAAACACCAAATTTAAGAAAAAAGGAAAGAAGAATCTGCCAAAAGGACTGTGAAGGAAAAGTCAGAGAAACAGGAGACATAAGTAGAAATGAAGAGTGCTTCAAGAAGGATGAAGTGGTCAGCTCTGCTGAATGATGCCAAGAGGGCCCAGACTGACCCCCATCAATCATGTCACCGGCTCAGCATTTCAGCCTTCATCTACACGCCCCACGAGATAGTCTCTGCCCCACAGTGCTCCTCAGGCGGGTGCTTCCACCGCCATGGGACTTCACTCCAGGTGACAGCAGTCTCTGCTCTTCCACAGTCTTGGCTGCATGACCCTCAGTAGTCCCCATTGAGTGCATGCCCCCAAATCAAGCAGTGAGTAGGGTAATATGAGCAAGTGTCTTTTTTTTTTTTTTTTTTTTTTCAATCAGAGACATCATGTTTGTTTGTACTTGAAACAACAAGAAGGGAAACCTATGCAGTCTGGAAAGGGTTCAGTCATCTGAAAAAAAAGAGTGAATTCAGGTGTGACTTTCACACAGATGCTTCCACCTGCCTCCTGATTGGTCTTCTTCATGATGAATAAAGAACAAAATAACACAAAAAACTTCATGTCAGAGTACTGAAGTAATTGGAATAGATCTCATTTCCTTTGGCTGGACAGCATAGTATTAAGTGCTTTCCCCCAGTTGGCACTCTTATAAAGTATCATTCTTTTTTCAGAAAGCTTTCTACCCAGGTGGCTGAGTTTTTTGTTGCAAAATTAGTTCAGATGGTCTCACACAAAATAATGTTAAATGCTGAGCAAGTATCTCTTAATCTCCAGACTTTCACCAACAGAGGGGTGTAGTATGCACACCTCACAAGGAAAGCAAGGAAAACAACTCAAGTCAAATGCCAGGCCCGCATTCACACAGTCGACCTCCAATGGCAGGAAAACTCGCGATTCCAAAGCTGAGGGGGAGGGGGAGGAGGACCCTCTCAGCAGACCTTGAGCGGACCCCTGGGCCCTGCCTCCCCACAGCGGTTTCTGCTGATCCTGCCCCTCTCCTCCAGAGGGCTCCTTCCCAGACGGCACCAAGGACCAGGTCCACCCTCATATCAGCTCTTCCTTGTCCCCCACTCCCAGCCCACACCCCAGTCCTCCTGATCTCAGACCCACAGGCCACTGGAAAAGCCTTTGGTCTAGCTTCTCAGCTACCTGTGCTATTCAGCTGGTAAACACAGGTCTCCAAGCTACGGTGAAAAGCTGAGTTCCTCAAGGGCAGCACCTGTGCCGGTGTCACTCCTCACTCTGCATCCGCCCTATCCTCCCACCATGCCGAAGGTGGAAGCCCTTCACAGAGACAATACAGAGAGCCTGGGTACGTGGAAAGAGAGAAAATTGGTGAAAGAATGCTAAACTCTACAAGGAGCTTCAAGAAATACCAGGTAAGGCAAAGGAAAGGTAGGTCAGGTAGGAAAGGCAAGCTGACCAAGAGCCAAAACCACGAGTGTCGTTTCTTAAACAGGTTTAGAAGGAAAATTAAATCTGCACCCCCTAAATTAAAACCCACCGTAGCAGGATCTGTGATGATAGCATCAAAGCCCATGTAACTGGAGTGTCAACCCATTCAGACTGACCAAAGATGGACACAAAACAATTTTGTCAGGATGAGAGCAGATTTCTTTTCTCCAGTGGGATTTCCGCTGCCACTTCAGTCCCCATTTCTCAGTGCCTCGCTAATCAGGCCCTTTCCAACAAAACTGATGTGGAAAAAAAAAAAAGTGATGTGAAGCTGGTTGGAGGGAGAGGGGGGCTGGGAGAGAGGGGAAGAACAGCAACGAGAGGGAACCATGGCTCTGAGAGACTAGAGTGGGAAATGAAAATATTTGCCGAGTTCCTTAGACTTAGTTAAATCTGAAAATGGATGTCAAAATAAGAAGTGAGCCACATACTAACAAGTTGTGGGTGTCAGTTTAACACCACCCTTGTCAGGCTCATCAGCAGGCTTTACCAGGCGTGTGAGAAAGTGGCTGTTCTGACGACAGCCATCTGACGAGAGGCTCCAGGAACATGGGAAAGCTGTGCACCGTCACGCAGCACTACTTAGATTTCCTCTCTGGCTGTTTTTATTTTGTTACACATTTAATTAAGAGCCTTCCCAGCAGTTATGTGGGGTCCTGCTTCTAAAAGGCAGACACAGAGGTCTCCTCCCCCAGCCACCTGCTACCTGCCACCTCCCTGCTCACTGGCTTTCAGAGCTTCACTGGCCTTCCCAAGCCAGACCCAAACCAGCCACCAAAGTCTGCCAGAATCATCTCTTTCGGAAGCTATGTGGCCTTAAGAATTCAATTCTGCCTACCTCTGAGTCTGCCAATTTGAGCCTCAGTTTTTAATTGTGCTTTGTTTTTTTCATCTATAAAAGGGAGACACCACCTCCTACCCGAGAAGGCAGTTAGGAGGACTGAGTGAAATATAGTATGTGCTCATTAACATCTGATTTCCTTTTATGTGTGATTTGATTCCCCAACCCTATCCCTCTTCTTGATTACACCAGTTCTCACGAAGATGCAAAGCAGCCTCCTGAGTCACCAAAATCTGTCCAGGGCCTACCGTGCCAAGGCCTGAACTGGTGCTGTAGGCCAGCACAGGCCAGACCCAAGGAAGATGGCATCTCCTCTCCTTCTCATGCAGAAACCAACCAGACGGTCCCCAACATCACGCACAGGAAAGCTTTCATATACACATATAAGTACACACCACTCACAGCTAACACAGAAGATGCTGAAACTGGGTGTTTGGGACATGAACACACCAAAGAGAGAAAGCCACTGGGAGAGTGGGAGTCTCAGAAGGCTACCTGGAGAAACTGGGCCTCTGGTCTGGGCCACATGAGCCCCAGAACTCTGGGTGTCAGCCTGAGCCCCGCCCCACCCCAGACAGCTTCTCCTGTGCTGGAGCTCCTCATAAGCCCCTTCCCACTTCGAGCGCTCAAAGCTGCCCAGGATGCCGTAACAGAGCAACAACAGCCTTCCTCCTCCTCACCTTCTCCCCGGAACCCTCCCCCGCCTCAGCTCTGCCTCCAGGCCCAGCCACTGTAATTTCCCTGACAACGAGCGTCAACGGGAGCTCCGGAGCCTGTGGTGTGCAGTCAGCATGCACACGACCTAAGGGCTGAGGGAGACAGGTGCACAGGCGCTTATGTGATCCAGGCCTGCCCTTCCTCCCGCCTCACCTAGAGGGTTGGGTCCAATAGCAGGCTGACAGCCACCTGGGTGCAGAACTTCACCTCAATGCCCAGCATCCAAAAGGCATAAAAAGGATCTTGGTGAGAAAGTAATGCCTGAATTTGTAGGAAATGTCACTCTAGAGCCACGACTCCCCACCCCAGCCAATACCCTACCCTATGTTCAAAAGCTCTCTCTCTCTCTCTCACACACACACACACACACACACACACACACACACACACACACAGAGTGCTTGCTGCCACCTTCAGTCACAAAGAACACAGAGGTATCGATTCTATCAATCCTCAGCAAACAGTGCCCCACTACCTCCACCCCGCTTTAGTTCCTTGGGGGCTCTCTGAAGCCAGGTATCCAGGAGGACAGCCAAGAGGCAGAGTGTCAACCCAGCAGAGGAACCAGTTCTGTCTTCCATAACTGGGGCAGGATCAGGAGACAAAGGAGAAAAAGCAGTGGCGACAAAGGAGGAAAGAGGAGGCTGGTGACCTGGGCAGCATCCTAGAAGCATCCCTCTCTCATCCCCACAATGGGCTCTCCGTGGGACCGTCAGGGCCTCGTATCCCAGATAAGAGCCTAGCCTAGTATAATGGTTAAGAGAAAAGACCCTGGAGCCAGGTTGCCTGCGTTTGAATTCTGGCTCTGTGTGTTCTTAGGCAAGTTACTTAACCTCTCTGTGCCTTAAGGTCTTCATCTATAAAATAAGAATAACAAGAATCCCTAGGGTTAGTAAATGACTTACTATTTCCAAAGCATTTAGAACAGTAAATACTATGTATTTGGTTTAGAAAAAAATTTAAGACCCTCTTTTACCTCCTTCTTTTCAGGGCAATAACATGTAGCTCCACAACAGCATGGGCTGCCCTGGAAAAAGCAAGAAGGCAACAGCAGTACTAGCAGGGTAGTTGGCCTGTCCACTCCTGGTTCTAGAGGCAGAAGGCAGGGCTCCCAGCCCTTGTCTTGCCCTGCTGACCCCAAAATCCAGGGACTCCCTGACCCAGGTGCCCTGAGGCTTGGACATCTGAGCCTGAGAAAGGCAAAACCTGGTCCCGCAGATTCCAAGCCCTGCCAGCAAAGGAGTCCTGCTCATACTCACATGACTTTTAAGTCCCAGTCTCCACAGGTGACAAAAATTGACTTGACGTTTGGATCTAAGAGGCCTTCCTTCGCCATCCACTCATCGACCCTCTGAAAAGTACACAACAAGAACAGATGAGATTTTCCTTTTTTTTTTTTCCCTGAGTCTGTGAAGAGCCACACAGTGAAACGCAGATAAGCTGCTTGTAATCAGAGCAGGAGAAAATTATAATCTTATCCCTCCACTCTGGGGTCTCAGTCTTGACTCAGAACTTTGGAGGCCCTTGCAGGACAATACCTGCAGGCAGATCCCACAAGCCCAAGTGGTGGGGGGCAGGGGCCCCTCCACTCCCCCAGTGCCTAGCAGCCCACCCTGGACAGGATAAGGACAGATCCCAGTAGGTCAGTCCACATACCTTTGGTCCTCAAACAAAGGCACAGCCTAGCACACTCACAGGCTGTCCTGGGCCACAAGAACAGGCTGGGAGGAGGCCTCATGCAGGGAACTCCAATCCACAGGTTCATTCGCTCATTTATTCATTCCACCCTCCCACCAAATGTCTACTAACCAAATTTATTAATTTAGTTATTCCCCAAATGAAGGTGAAGTTAATTTTCACCATGAGTCTAGCAGAAGAGGCTCCTCTGCCAGGCTATAGGCCCATCTTGACAACTGGGATAGCACTGCCTGCTCCAGTCGCTAGAAGCTCATAAACTGGCCCCAGACTTTGTATTTCTCCTCTCCTGGTTGGGGATTCAAATTCAGTGGCATCTTCTGAGGGCTGAGCTCAATTCCTAGACAGGGAAAGAAACTAATCCTAAACACACTTAAGTCTTTCTTCCCCTTCATCCCTTTGATCCATTTTATTATTTGCCTCACACTGGAAGTACAAATACTAAAATCAGTATATACCGAGAAAATTATCATAAAGAATTCATGAAGCACTGCCTATTTTTCAAAAGATCCTAGGCATGGGGCAAGAGTGCAGCAGATCACACTGCTGTTCCACTCACACAGGAGGATTATTTTTAAAGGCTATATTGTGTAGTCGTTAGAAACGTGGGATTGAAAGTCAGACACATCTGGGTTCTAACCTTGGCTCTTCCATATCCTGGCTGTGTCACTGATGGGAAGTCATTTAAAAGTCATATAACCCCTCTGAACTTCAGTTTCCGTCATCTATAAAACGAGGTAGGATGACTAACCTTACAGGGTTGTTTTGAGAATTATATGTGATAATGTATTAAGTGCCTACCTAAAAATAGACAGTAGGCTGGGAAGGGGAGAAAGACAGATCATCTTAATACAGTATAATAGAGGCAGCAATGGAGAAGTTACCCAGGATGCCATCAGACCAAGAAGAGGCAGAGGCTAGCTTTACCTATTACAGGGAAAGGAATCAGAAAGGCTTCATAAAGATGACTGAACTAAGGGCTTGATGACAAAACTAAGAGTTTGCTTGACAGCATGGAACACAGGAAAGGACACTCCAGGCAGAGGCAAAGGCTTAGGCACAGACATTTTGTATCTGATTAGCAATTGTCTGTTTAATGTCTGCCTTCCCCACCATACTATCAACATCACAAAGGCAGGGACTCTTAGCTGTCTTATACACCGTCTTAATCCCTAACCCAGCACAGTGTCTTCTTGATTAAAATGTGAGTAAGAAATAATGTGACTGGAGTCCGCTGTGATTGAAAGGTAGGGCAGGAACTGAGGCTGGGGGACTAGGTTAGGTCAGACTGTGAAGGGCCTTGTGTGCCCAGCAGGTAATGTAGAGCCCATGGTAATCCTGGGCTCCCTGGAACCGCAGAGATTCGGGAGGCCTGGCCCATGCTGAAGCAGTCCTGGAACAGGGCCAAGGATCCCATCTAGGTCCACGACTACAGCAGCCCTACCTCCTGGGACATCAGGGCCACTCCTCAGTACCGGACTCTGCAGACCCTTTTCACAGTCTGCACACCAGAGAATCCTCCTCAGCCCGAGGGTCTCCCCAGCAGCTAAATTCTGGACCTTCCACTGCTGAATGGTTTGTCTCCCCAGTCACTCTGGCCCAAACCCTTGCACGACACACACACACATGCACGCACACATGCATCCTTTCCCCAGGGTCACCTAAAGAAAATAAGGCAGACTTTACATAAGAAAAGAGGTAAGGCAAACCTGAAGGTCCCTAAGTCAGCTAATCTTGCTCCAGTTCACTGGCCTTAAATCCCCAAGGTAAGTGCCCCACCTGCTAGGGGGATCCCCAACGCCCCAATTCCTGCAAGTGGTCCTGGAAAAGAGAGCAGGACAGGACAGGACAGGACTGTCAGGAGGAAATGCCTAGCAAGACCAGGGCTTCACCATGAGAAGCACCTACTGCTCCTTGGAAGCTTAGGGCCGAGGCCATTCACTCATGCAGCAGATATTTAGTGAGCAGCTTCTGCTACGAGCCTGTCCAGGAAAGTGATACTTTTGGAATCAGGCCTGTCCTTTTCCTTCCCTTCCTGTTTGAATGGATAAAGGGTTGGAGGGACCACCAAGACAAGCCCTAATCAGCCAGCCCTCCTGGCTATTGAAGGTCTAGAGGAATGCAGACTGAGCCCTGCTTAGAACAAATGTGTCAGGCAAACATCTAACTGGCCATCTGCTCAGGGCCTTGCTTAGGACAAGAACTAGCTCTTCAGCTCTATAACCAACTCAGGGCTAATGGGAAAG